TTTTATCCGAGATATAAAAAAATATTATTTTATAAATATATATGTATATAAAATGTAAGCTGTAAAAAAACTTATTTTTGAAGAACTTTGAAGCATAGAGAATAGCGACTTTTATGCATATTTAGACTTTCAATAATTCATAACTCGGACATGTTTCTATTTGCATTTTACTTGCTTATGTAGATGTTTCTTTGCTTCGTTTCTTTTTTTTTTATTATACTTCACGATAAAGCTAGTGGCGGCTTATTACATTAAAATATAACTGTTAATCAAGGTAATTCTGATTAGTATGCAAGTTACAGCTATTTAAAATAACACAGAATACAGATGTGTAATGACTAAAAGTGGAGATACACCCCACATGGACCAAATTTGCCAAGTTATCTTGGTGTAGATGTTCAGAAGCAGGTCGTAGGAGTAGCAACGTAAAGGTGCATCACGGCCGGAACTGTATTCGACTGCTGCTTAAACGCATATTTAGAGAGTCATTTCGTCAATAAATGACGAAATTGAGGGACAGATATGCTAAATCATTTTTATGATGATCTAATGGATTGTTGTTTTTGTACTGCTATTCGTCATCATCATGAACATTTGACTTACCCTATATTGATATACAGGGTGTTTCAAATAAATAGTAAACTTAAGCTTAAGTAAATGCGAAGGGTGAGTAAAGCAGCGTGATTAATGGACAAAAAAAATTGTAAGAAAACTAGAACTAGAAAATACGATAGTTATTGTAAGCAAATACGTCAAGACTCATGTAATGACTGAATACAACCCTAGAAAATTTTGCTAGTCATGAGCATTAGTCATTACTTTCGCCAATATTCGGTGATAACAGGTTAATATTTATTTTGATTTGGTCTATCGTAAAATTGAACAGAGAACCTATAGATGAAACGAAATCTATTTCGCTAACGTGGAAAGTTTTTGTATAATAATAATAAAGTTATACTCATAATAAACGATTTCCACCAGAATCTCTCATAATGTAAAAACTTAAATCGCGTTTCGATATCGAGGGTGTCATCCTCAGATAATTGAGTTCACACAGAACTTATTTTAATTTTCATGTACTAAAAATCGATAATTTTGGACCGATATGACTGTCGCGGACTTTCACTTTAAATACTAAGGGGATCTACGAAAGATAAATATAAATGCTAACAATTCTAATAGTTTGACATACCTACAATTATATTTATTTTTACAGGGATTGATGTGCAAGCGGTCAATGTTGTAATAAACTTTGATTTTCCAAAAATGGCAGAGACATATTTACACCGAATTGGCAGATCTGGCAGATTTGGACATTTAGGTATTGCCATCAATTTAATTACATACGACGACAGATTTGCTTTGCATCGCATTGAACAAGAGCTAGGTACAGAAATCAAACCTATTCCGAAAGTGATTGATCCTGCCTTGTATGTAACAAATATGGAGGATGAACCTCACGAAGAAAAGTAATGTCGTCATACTAGGCTAGTGTACAGTGAACACCTTTCGTGTATAATACTGTTTTTGTTACCTTTTAAAGAACTAACATTCTTCTATGGAATTTATCTGCTTTGTCAGTGGAAACGTCCGAATGAATTTTGTTCATTTGTAGAACGGTGTTACTTAATTTATTATATAAGTTGCGCTTTTATAAGTTACAAAAAAAAATGGAACGTAAAATTCAAAATTTCTATTTTTACCAGTAGAGATGAGATGTATCGTGACATTAAAATTTTTTTTTTGTAATTATAGACTCAATCTACTTTTAATCAACTGGTAAGCTACAAAATGTGCTTTAATTTTACGTTTCATTTTTCACTCGGCTCATTTTTACGTTGTGACTTCCACCAGAATCTCCCATAATGTAAAAATTGGGCTTTTCAACGTAAAATCAGGCTACGGATCTCATTTATTTATTCAACATGAGTTGCGGTCTAAAGTTATTAGAACTTCTTATACAGCAGTGATTAGACGATAAATAATAGAATAGACTGAAATTGTTGATGGAACATTTACATGAGAAGTGAAGATATGCTGCCGCTTTAGGCGTTAATCGATTATTTTTTCAAAGGAGATTCACTAGCTAGTTTCGCTACTGTTGAAACTAGACTTACGCATTATAATCAAAGGAAGAAATTAAATTTTCTTCTTAACAACCATTCTTTACATAGAACTGGTATGAATCTTTGTGAAATTACGGGCCTACATTTAGGGATTTGACTATAAAATTATTTTAGGCCGTAGTACAAGTTTTTATTGAGGTCAATATTAAAAATAAACAAATTATTCAAAATTGGGAGGGGAAGTTGTAATACTCTAGTATGTTGCTTTTATGTCATTCAGTTTGGAATTGTAATTTAATTTTATATGAACTAGAAAATACTAATCTTTTATAAAAGCACCATACTGGATAATTATTGTATAATAAAAAAATGTGAAGAGATCGTAAAATTTACATCGCATATAAGAATTTTGATATTTTTTTGTTTGATATTTTTGGGACAGACATTTAGGTTTTCTTTTATCAAAAACAATAAATTCTAAGTGCAGCTATCTGACAAAAATCCTAATGTTATACATTCTTTTTCAAATTCGTTGTATAATAAATAATGTGTATTTATTATTTAAGTAAATATCTGCACTTAAATTTTACTTCAATTACACAATTTTTTTTAATTATTTTATGTTCTTATTTTGAGTCTTTTATTTAAAAATTTTTTGTACTATAAAATGATGTATTCAAATTATGCCTAGTTATTAATAATTATTCGAAATTTTCTCAAGCTGAAATTTATTATATAAAAAAAAAATAAATTCTCTTCGCAATTGTTGTTTATATTAAACTCTGACTAATGATAATAATAGATAGTAAAACCGACAGATTGGCCGATGCTGTAAAAAATAACCATAATAATACTTTAAAAATTGTACAGACCTGACGCTCGAAGCTGGCGGAAATCTTAAAATGGCGTGGATCCGCAGTGGCAAGTGTAGGTAGTTTTAGGTATAACAATTACAGCCCTCTTTCTTCAGTGTCCCTACTAGGGGCGTAGATTAAATATTTAAATGATCAGTTTACAAAATTAAAAAAAAGATGTAGTTATTCGGTTGGCTTTCCTGTTGTAAATATTTAAAGTTTATATAAAAAAGAAATAGGCGCAGTAATTTAGTTTAACATGATTTATTTAAATGTGTTAGATAACGGGCAAGTAATCGACATACATACAGAAGAACTAATTGTTGATGTCGATGACAGTAAAATTTATTTCGATGAGGGCCGTGAATGTGAAAACTAACTACAAAAAAAAAAACATTAGGTTTATTTATTTTTTTTTGTTATGTTTGTATACTATTTCCTAGTACGCTGTTCTGTCTGTATTAATATAATAGTTTACGCCTACTGAAAATTTATTTGTGTATCAGTTAGGAGTGATCTACCCAAATAGGCCATAAATGGGCAAGTGCCTGCGCGACCGTTCGCCAGCTTTTTTCGTCCGACCTGTATTTTTATTGGGTTGGGAGATTTCTAACTGGCGTTTTAATGTATTCTGAAAAGAGAAAAATAACCGTTTTATTTCATTACTTACAAATTCGTAATAAGAAACTCGTTCATGTTTCTTTTTTAAATCAATAAATGTGTCATAAAATTTTATTTCAAATAATCGTAAGACCAAAGAACTTACCTTAAGTGATGTTCGATCTTGATTATATGAAGGCCTCGTCGAAATAAATAAACGTGTATTGCAGCTGTTTAAAGTAGTTCCAACAGAAAATTACTTAAACATGGGTATATTATTATTATGAAGATATGTTTTATTTAATCGAAAAAACAAAAAACAATTACCATTAATGGTACAAAAGTATAAAGTAAAAAAAATATGAAAACCAAATAACTACAAGGTTATTGATACATAAGCGTAATAGGTAACTCAAGTACATCTGCATGCCTAAATTTAACAAACAGACGCTGATAATGTGTTAGCAAACTTTTTATTGTCTATTATAGTCCTATTATAGAAATTCGCAAATGATCTTGAATTTTGGGTCCAACCTGCAGCAAGTCTAATAGAGTGAAAGCTTACGCCCTTCTTAGCTACCGCTGACGTTGCTGCATGACGTGTACTCTGCACCTTAAAGGTGTTTATGTCGATTCCACTTTTTCTCAATACATTTTTTATCCATCTACCTAGCAAGAGTGTGCGATGTTGCTCTTCGAAAGGGTTTTTTATGTGTGATAAGTCCCAAGGACCTTCAAGTCCTTCGTTTCATCTAAGTATCGTAGCAATGTTGTGGCTACACAAACTGTGGGATCCAGATGATACATAGGCAAGACTAAAAATGGTTGAGTTCTTTTGAGAGATGTTGTTTTTATTTTACGAGGAATTTTTATCTCGATCCGATCAGGGTGGATTAATATGTTACTAATTTCAATGAGACTTAATGTTTGAATACGCTGCCCTGTAGCAAGTGCTAAAATAGTAACTAATTTTTCTGAAAGACGCTTCGGAAGAATCTCTTGATTCTAAAGTTTTGTGCTAGGTTCGGACCCGCTATCTGTGCTAGAGCCGATCTGTAGCCATTAAACGAACCATAAGAAGCACCTTTTTTAAACTGATCCGTTAAAAATTGTAAAACACGTGGAATTTTTATAGAAAACACGTTAATATTGTTTTTAGAGCAGAACTTCCACCACAACCTTAAGTCGCAAGAATATTGATTTAAGGTATTTGGTGTTATTGATAGCAGGCATATCTCCAAAGAATCCTGTGGTACCCCCCCTAATGAGAGGGCTTTCCTGATAATTTCCCTGCTACTTGCCATAAAGGGTGTGGAATTCGATTGAAAGAGAGCAAAAATTTTTTAGGTTTGAAAATGATAGGTTCTCCAATAAGTAATGATTGAAATACTGGGAACCATGGTTGGGAGATCCAGAGGGGTATGACCACCACTCTTTCGGCTTCATCTGTAATGATCTTTCGCAACATTCGTAAGATCAATGCAAAAGGCGGAAACGCATAGAAATTAAGATTTTTCCAATTAACAGTGAATGCATCCACCGCAAATGCCTCTGGATCTCTTACCCAAGAAGAAAACTGGACATTTTTTATTTATCCTACTAGCAAAAAGATCAACCGATAATTTGTCAAAAACTGTCTCAATTTCTTGAAAAGCGTCAACTGATAAACTACATTCTGTTTCTCTATGTTGACGCGACGCCATATCAGCGTCTCTATTGACTTTGGTGTTGATATAACTAGCTAAAATGCATATATTTCTTTCTTCACACCAATTCCAAATTTTAGACGTAATTTCTTGTAAATGTTTAAAACGGACACTTCCCATTTTATTTATGCAGGCTACAGCTGCGGTATTGTCTAGTCGACAAAGAAAATTGCAGTTTGATAATTTCGACCAGAAACCATGAGCGCTGTTACCCCTACAATAAGCTCCCCAGCCTGAACCCGAAGCATCCGTAAAAATTTCCATATGGTACTTGTCGACTCGAATGTTATTGAAAGATTTTGGAACATTTTTAATGAACCAATTCAGGTCGTCTATCAAATATGCGGAAATTTTCATAAGTGCATTGTAATTTCATCCTGATTTTTTTAAGGCTAACATTTTTTGACATTCAAAAATTTTTGTATGTAAAAAACCGTATTTGACAAGCTGAGACGATGGTTCCAAAAAACTTTGAAAACTGTCTAATTGTGCATTCAGATATTTTGAATAGGCGTTTTAGTATTTTAAGTATTCGTTCCCGTTTGTTGGTATTTGAATCATAAATAAACCCTAAGAAAGCACAACTGTTAATAGGTGATAAGTTACACTTTTCATAATTTATTAGGAACCTTAGATTGTTATCTTTGATCTTAAAATGTTTAGTCTCTACAAACTCATTCAATTTTTTGAGGTTTAAGATTAGACGATGTGAACCATTCGGCTTACTTACAGTAAAAACTTTTGAAACAAACTGGGTTTTGCAGTATTTCGCAACAGAAATAGCTGTAATAACTGCTTTAATAAATCCCCTATAATTTGACTTTCCCTGTTCGATCAATTATTTTCTATTGGTTTTTTTAATTGTCTTGGTTTTTTATAAAATGGAATACTAATTCCTCTAATATGTAATAATATTTTATTGAACGCAGGAATTTTTTTCCATCTATTTGAAAAAATTCTTAAATGTCCACAGGACTCACTGTCCTGCGTGTCTACTACGGATATTGACGACTTCGCTGATTGGTCTTGTTGTCCATCTTTCTTCCCTGAAATTGTCGAGTTTTTCTGTGTGTCAAGTTCACTGGAGCCTGATTGGACTGTCCACTGCTCTTGGCCCCATACTTTCGAGTAGGTGGACTCCTGAAGTTTCCCTGACTTCTGGAAGTTAAAGCTTTTGCTAATCTCTGAGTAGAAAGTCGTACAAGTCTTTTCTGTACCCATAATTGTTGTCCTGATTTTTTGTAGCTCCTTTAGTGACTCTATCCTGCTATCTAAGTCAGATCTGAAGAGAAACTCGGTAATTGTAGTGTCTGTTAAAATGCCTTTAAGGTCTTTATTAAGGTTGATTGCTATAAGTTCCCTGCGGGATATTGATTCCGAATGACATATGTTAGTCAACATTATACCTGCATCACTAAGCAGGTGTATGTACTTTTTATTATCAGGGGTTGAGTTTCGTATGAGACTGGTTAAGGTCACATCTATTGCGGTTAAGCTGGCCCCCAATTGCTATTGCAGATGAGACATCCGCACATTCCTTCTTAAAACTGATTCAGAGGAAGTATGTTTTACTTCCGGGTTAATGCTGGTGGGCACAACAGCACGCAATTACTTGGAGGCAAGTATTTAGCTGATAATTTTTTTAATGGTCTCCTCACTGAGACCAGACGCTAAAATGTGTGACCAACGAGAGGCAATATTCGCATGTATTGGACCCTCAAAGACCGTTTCCGGTTTTTCATCATTCCCCAGAAGGGAAATAATTTCCTGCTGCAACTTTGAGGCTTCCTTAAGTATTTCAGTAGAATTGTCTAAAAGAATAAAATTGGAAGAGATTGACCAGTGATCTCTAAGTATCTACATTATGTAAGATAAAAGATCTATTGTCACAAATCGAAAGCATAAGCCAAGCATTTTTTTCCGATGTCCTAATCGGAAGTCATGCATTTAATTCCGTTACCATAAACGGAGAGAGAGAAAAACTCTTGATTTTATTTGTCTGTAACCCAAGCAGGAAATCTTTAGAATGTTTCCCTCAAACATTCATTTCCATAAGAAAATAAAAAGCCCGTACTGGGTAAACCAGAACTGACAACGGTAGCAATACCGCTGGGTCCACTCTCTTGGGCATTGCCTCGATTTGATGTGGTACGGTCACTCGCACCGTCTCTGTGTCTATAATTAGCATCAAAAGACTCCGCTTCGGTAGCTCTGACAACGCAGCACTGTGAGCTGACATTTACGAAGAAAGCGACGATATAGAGGAGCTGTAGAGTCTCTTTCTTGCACAAACATTTACACTGCCTTCTCCCTCGCTCGAACTGTCTGTGTTTGATGATAGGACTCGAACTCGACCTGTAACTCGGTGCTCCGCCATGTTTTTATTGCATTTTTCCATTTTTTTCCAGTCTAATTTCGAGTCTTTAGAATTTTAAAAACTCCATGCCGATCCTTAGAATTATTCGGATTCCTTTTTCGTTTGGTGATTTTTCGAGGCATAATGTCAACGTTAAGCAAACGTTTTCGTAAACGGATGCGACCAACGTGTGAATACTTCCACACAAAAACGAAGACTGAGGCAACGGACGCGACAGAGAGTGGAG